GCGCGATGTCACCTTTAGTTTCAAAGCACAAATCTTGTTTCAAGCGTTGAACTGGGAGAAGCGCCCCACCAACCCCCCGAGAAGGGGGCTTCTCAACGCCTCCACTTCTCGCCACATTTGTGGGTGGGGGGCACAGCAAGAGGGTTCTTATCCCTGCCAGACTAAACAACTAGCCGAGCAAGTAAATCAAGCTTCCCAGAGACACTACACTGGCCGTTGTGAAGACAAAAGCAGAGAGGAGAAAAAGAAATCCAGTCCTCACCTCGATTGAGTCTGACAAGGCTAGCCAGGCCCTCTGCTGACGTGCACACATTTACAGTCTCCCTGTGATTTTTTTTTTCTTCCCCAACACCAGTTCCACTCAGTCTGTTTGTTCAACATAATTTGGCTTTGAATAGCAGGGATCCAGTGACACTGCAGGGGAGCTGAGCCAGACAAAAGAAGTTAACGGTTAGTTCTCCCCCCCCCTTCCTCCTACCTTTATTTTTATTCACAACATTGTTGGCTAAGGTAGTTGTGCCCAAAGTTTTTCTACTGAGACTGCTGCAGCAACGTGGAGATGTTTTACTCATTGTTGCATTTGGCTTTTAACATTAAAGGATGTCCCCCCTCCGCACCCTCCCCAAAAAGGCTGAAAGCTTTATTCTCTGAAAACAAGCTTTGTTTTCCTTCGGCTCCTGCCCTGGGTGTTGACTGTGGCAGAATAAACAGGCTGCTCTGGGCCTGAAGCAGCCCTAACCCAGTTTAGGGGTGAGGTCATCCAGCCCAGAGAGGCAAGGAAAAACTGACTCTTTGATATGCTCGCTGGAGCAGTCAGTATTTCCATAGGTCCCCCGTGCCACTTTTCACCACTTTCTGCCATTAGTTCCTAAGTGAAATTGCTTTCCTCGGCCTTCTTAAGAGACAGACAAACGCATATCCTCATATTAGTATTTATATTACAATACTTAGAAGCCCCACCCAGGATTGGTGCACCAACTGTGCCCGCATAGCAAGAGACAGTTCCTGCCTGGGAAGAGTTAACAATCTAATTAGCCCAGGCAGGCAAAGGATGGGAGGAAAGAAGCACATTATTCCCATTTATACCCGGGGGGGCTGAGGCACAGAGAGATTTGTCCAGGAAGGCTGTGGCAGAGCCAGAGATTG